CCCAACCACAGCAGCCTCGAGCCACACGCCAGAGCTGCGCGGCGGCGTGGTCACCGTGCCCTCGCTGCTCCGAGGCAGCGCGTGCCAGGGGACCAGCCCTTAAGAGCTCACGCTCCCCACAGCCTTCCCCATGCTCCTGCTGCTGTCATGCTCAGCTTGCCCTGGAGTCTGCGGGTTCTCACCTGATTTTAGGAGAGATACTTTCTGTAGGTTGGGTGGCATGTGTTTTAGGGCCACATTTTTCAGATAAGTCTCTGTGTTTGCCATGTACCTGAAACAAATCGTTGCAGTGTTTACTGGCTTAATCAAATATACAGATTTACAGATAGACTATTGACTCAAACCACCAGCAAGATATATCTCCTGGTCCCACAGCCATGGCCAGTAACAACCCTAATGCTTTGCCCTAGTAACTGCATCAGAGTTACCAGAGTTATTTTATTTCAGGTCTTTCCTTGTCCATAAGGAAACCTTCTGGTAAACCCTGTGATCCTTACTGAAAACCTAAGGCTAACAGTCTCCAGAACTGGTCAGTGTAACACAGGAGTGAGTTCTATAACCTAGATACAGGGAGGGAGATGCATCCAAAACATACTCACTCTTTAGCAAAGGCAAACTCCTCTGGTGATAGAATGGAAGGCTCCCCTTCAGCTCGAGACTTCTCCTTCTCCAGGACATGGGGGAAAAACTTCTCTATCTGATATTGGAACAAAATCACACAGACCGTAACAGACCTCTCCCAGTGGTTCAGTGCCTGCAGTCTCCACCCCTCAGAGGCTTCCCCTGCTGTACAGGTGTGTGCAGCAGCTGCAGCCCTGCCCAAATACCTGCTCCAGAATTAACAGTGATACAGTCAGCTGGGGTCTCCAAGCTGCACAACTGTTATGTGTCCGTGGCAGGACATGCAAGCATTCAAATGTGCCATCCTGGGCTTAGATAGGCAAGAAAACACTCCCAGCAATGCTGTGATCCTCCCTCATCACAACAGACAAGTGCGTCTAAGGAATTAATTCCTTTGGGTTACATTTCAGAGGACATGGAGAGAGAGGACACAGAAGCAAGAGGCCTTGTTTGGGTAAAAAAAAAACCCCACTCCTGAGGTCACCCCTTCTCCTCGCTTGGGCAGCACAGTATTACCTTCACAAGCCTACACCGCAAATAGCTGCTAAGCACATAACGGATCCTGTCAATCTCCATACGGTGAACGCTAACCTTCAAGTCTCCTTTCTTTGCCCGTTTCAGGTTTTCCTCCTGCATGGAAAGGCAAAGAGGAACTAAATGACTGAAACATCAACCAACAAGAAACAGAGAGAAAGATGTATTTTGTACATATGGCCACACAAAACCAGACTGCAGCTGCTTTTGGTGACATAAAGCCCCCTGCTGTCTTCTGTCTCTCAGTCCTCTTGCCAAGACAAGCTCAAAGGAGGTACTTGGAACAGCTTTTTCTCAGGGACAGAAGAACATGCACTCCCGGCAATCCCAGAGGGACCCAAATATGTATATGCCAGGCCAGGTAAGTAGGCCCCACCTGAACCTACCATATGGTCCAGCTGCTCCACAACACACTCAACGATCTCAGGTTTGCTCTCCAGCAGCTCTGGCGCAAACTTCTCATTCAGCCAGGCCTGAAAGAAGGGGCGGTATCAGCAGAGGCGAGGAACACATCCCAGGAACTCGGCCCTCTTCACCTCCCCCGGCGAGCGCAGGGATCCGGCCCCCACCTCCTCCGGCGACCCAGGGCCCAGCTTCCAGTCACCCCCAAATCTGCCCAGGGAGCCCAGGAGCTCTGCCCGAGACTCTTCCCCAGCTCACACTACCTGCTCCAGGCTGCGGATGAGCTGCGCCGGCGTGAGTACCAGTTCCTCGCTGCCCCCATCCGAGTCGCCCTCCGAG